TCCAAGCCAGAGGAATCCAGCGAAGCGCCAAGGCAGACGCTTCGGCTGAAGTCCCGGTCACGATCCCCGGGCAAAAGCCGAGCCGCTTCGGCTCCGGCTGCCTCCGAGAAGGGCCAAGGAAAGGGCAAGCAGAAGAAAGTGCAGTTGACTCGAGCCGTCAACGTGGCCACTCAGGATGCTGCCCGTGAGGCCAAGAAGGGAAAGGGAAAACGATATCCCACTCCCTCAAGTGAGCCTGATGAAGGCGATGAAGATCCACTCGCTCTCAGGAGTTTGGAGCTGGCATCCATGGAGACGCCAATGGCTCATCAGGTGACCTTGGATTCAGGAGCCGCGACCTCCTGCATCCCTGTTGAACTGGCCACCGCATTGGGCTACAAGCCTATCCAGCCCAAAGTCTACAAGACTGCCTCAGGCGAAGTGGTCAAGGACCTTGGCAAGATCGATGCCATGGTGACCATCGGCATCGGCCAGAACTCCCTCAATGGACGTTGCTGTTTCCGGGTGATGGCGGTTGCAAAACCGCTGCTCTCCGCAGGGGGCCCTTATGAGCAAGGGCTGGTCCATTCAGATGCACGGATCTGGTGGACATATCTCCCGAGACGGGACTAAGATCCCGATCTCGTTCAGCAACGGCGTCTGTTCTGTGCCGCTTGCATTCCACCCTTTCGTCCGGCACCGCAATGGGTAAGTCCGGTAGTGGACGAACAGGCCGAAGAGGCCGAGCCAGGCGACGAAGTGCCGCCTGAGCTCAAAATCAATTCTCCCATTCGCCCGACGCGAAAAGAGTTTGAAGAGCATGCTGTTTCACACTTTCCTTTTAGGTCTTGGTGTGAGGCCTGTGTAAGGGGAAAAGCTAAGGCAAACCCCCACAGGAAGATAGACCACACCGATGAGACAACCCCAGTGGTAACTGTAGACTACTGTTTCATGAACTCGCGGACTGATGACGTAGTTTGGACGAGAAGACTCATGCACCAATTCTTGTTGTCAGAGATCGATGGACGAAGCATCTTTTTGCTCATGTGTTGCCCTACAAAGGTGTGACAAAAGGTCCATATGGATCCAAAGTACTTTTGAATGACATCAAGAAACTCGGATACTCCAAACTGATCATTCGACATGATCCTGAACCTGCTCTCACATCCGTTGTTGAGGCAGTAAAGAATGGGTTTGAAGGAACCCTGATCATCGAGAAGAGCCCGAAAGGAGTCAAAGAATCCAAGGGAGAGATTGAACTAGCAGTTCAAACCTTGGAAGGACAAGCCAGGACTCTTCGAGCCGCAATCGAGTCGAACTATGGTGAGAAACTTCCTGACGATTCACCTGTTTTGACTTGGTTAGTTGAACACGCATCCACAGTCCACAATCTGTTTTTCCGATCTACCGAACTTCAAGACGGAAAGACTCCGTATTCACGACTTCGTGGACGTGAATGGAAAGTAGCAATTCCACCATTTGGTGAGGCCATCGAATACCTCAAGAGAGGCCACAAGTTCGAGGCCCAATGGACCAAAGGAATTTTTCTAGGAGTGAAAGACACCACCACAGAGAAGATAGTAGGAAATTCCACAGGCGTTTTCACAGTGCAATCCATTCGAAGAAAGCCAGAAGAAGATCGATATGATTCAGAGTTGCTGAAATCGATCACTGGAATTCCCTGGGATCCTCAAGCAATTCGCGAAGAACCAGCGATTGCAGCCCCAAGGGAACCAATCATTGCCAGCCCAAGTGGTGAAGCTTTGGCGCAACCACCGGCAATGGATGACAAGAAAAGAAAGCTGAGAAGGCTTTACATCACCAAGAAAGACCTGGAAAAGTTTGGGTATACTGCAGGTTGCCCAGCTTGTGATGCCACACAGATTGGCAAGAGATCTACAGGCATCCATCACACCAACAGGTGTCGAGACAGACTTGAAGAGAGCATCAGAGGAGAAGAAGAAGAGAACCCAAGAGTAGCAAGACATGAAAGCCGAGTTGGAGAGGCAATCACTGGCATGCCACAACCCGTCAGTGGCAAGAGACCTCAAATCCTTCATGGATATGAAAGCAAAAGACCATCGGGAGTTCCCGATTCGTGTCGAGTGTTCGCACGACTTGACGTCGAAGCTTACTGTTTTCAAACCACCATGCCAGGAGGACCTGATTGGTCTACCGTCTGGCACCGAGTCACAAGAAACCATGCAAACAACGCAATCATTGAGAGTGGAGTCATGACAACAGACCTTCCACCAGAGATACTCAATGGAGCATTACCACACAAGATGGACATTGTGACAGAACTTTGGTACGAACCAGAAGCAGCACCACCAACACCAGGCACAGCATCAGCTTCAGCATCAGGTATTCGCAGACCACGCGAACCTGAACCACATGGAGACAAGAGAGAACACGAAGAACAACATGAACCAGCAGGATCACCTACAGCAAAAGCCAGAGTAGATAGAGACAAGAAGAGAAAGGCAGAAAGCGAACATGAAGATGAAGCCGAGAGAACAAGAGACATCCAGAGCATCGAGATGGCTCTAGAAAGCCTAATCCTAGAAGATAGAGAGAGAGTGCTATCTAGCATCGACCCAGAGAAACCAGTGTGTGAAGAGAAGATCCCACTGCCAGAAGAAATGGCAGAAGAGGCAAAAGACTGGTGGTACTATGATGACATCAGTGGAAAAGAGCTTCTACCTGAGAAGGTAGAGAAAGCCAGAAAGGATGAGATCGACATAATCAATGGGAGTTTGGGAAAAGATCCCAAGAAGCAAAGTTCCAAAAGGAACCAAAATCATTGGAACTCGATGGGTAGATGTGAACAGGCAAGATGAAACCAATCCTCTCTACAGAAGTCGATTGGTAGCGCAAGAGATCAAAAGAGGCTCAGGTTTTGACGAATTTTTCGCAGCTATGCCGAGCCTAGCAGCTTTGAAGCTACTGCTAACCATCGCAGTCAGCGACAGCCTTCCATTGGAGAAAGGCGAAAGAAGAAAATCAAAACAATCATTTCTAGGATTTTTAGATGTGAAGAGAGCTCATTTCTATTCCAAAGCAACAAGAGAACTCTATGTTGAAATCCCATCAGAAGGCAAGAGACCTGAAGATGGAGATGTGGTAGGAAAATTGGTCAGAAGCCTATACGGCACCAGAGACGCACCCATGACTTGGGAGCTGACCATTGCAGAGTTTATGAAGAAGCTAGGATTTGTTCAAGGCAAGTCCAACCCATGCATCTACTACCATGCATCCAGAGAACTTCGAACAGAGGTGCATGGAGACGATTTCACGACAGTTGGAAGTTTTGATGACATCAAATGGTTTCACACTTCAGCAGCCGAAGAATGGCAAGTTGTGGAACGAGGCATTCTTGGTCCACCAGGTTCACCAAAGGCAAGCCAACAGATCAGAGTGCTGAATCGCATCATCACCTGGTCAAATGAAGGCATTTGGTGGGAACCAGATCCAAGACATGCAGAGTTGATCATTAAGTGGTTAGGCACTGGTCAACCAGGCAAGGTCAAAACACCTTTGGCCAAGCCAAGTCAAGAGGAACTCCAACATGAAGAAGTTCCGCTGAGTGCCGAAGATGCAACGATGTATAGATCTATTGCTATGAGAGCCGCGTATTTGGCACAGGATCGACCTGATCTGCAAACTGCAACGCGCTCATTGGCACAAGGTCTACAGAACCCAACATCGAGGCACTGGAATATGCTGAAACGATTGGCTCGATATGTCAGGTATCGACCAAGAGTTGCACAGTTGTTTCCAAACCAAAGCACCTGCAACCCCTTCAACATGTGGTCAGACGCCGACCATGCAGGTTGCATAAGGACACGAAAGAGCGTGTCAGGAGGCGTGCTCATGGCCAACAAATGCTGTCTCACAACATACAGCAAAGGCCAAGGAGTTGTCTCCCTGAGCAGTGGCGAATCCGAGTACTACGGACTTGTTTCCGGAGCATGTCAAATGCTTGGAATCGCATCAACAGCAAGAGACTGGGGATTGTTTCCCAGCAAAGAGGTGACAATGGACGCTTCCGCTGGCATCGCCATGGGAAACCGTCGAGGCTTGGGACGAGCTAAGCATGTTGACACTCAATACCATTGGGTACAAGAGCGCACAGCAAAGAAAGAGTTTCGTCTCAAGAAAGAAGGCACCGACCGAATGTTGGCCGATGTGCTAACGAAAGCTGTCACCGAGGAGAAAATGACAACAGCCATGAAAGGCATGAACTTCCACTACTTGGAAGGTGAGCATGAACTGACTTTGAAAGCGTGAACGGCTTGAGCTAGAGTAGGTACATCTTGGTCTTGAAGAGGTACTGGAGGGCTACGAGCTAATTCACCGAAGTGCTAATCCTGACTCGCTTAACTTCTGGGAGATGTTAAACTCGGGAGGCGTGATCAGATGTAGCACCAGTTACATGTACATGATATAGCTTGTATAGATGTATGTTTCACTGCAGCCGTTTGTTCAAGTTTGTGGTTTACTTTTGTGTTCATTTCGATACCAGAGCTCACGCGTGTTTGAGCTAAAAGTGTGCCTAAGCTTCTACTCCAACCTTTGGGACAGTGACTTGGGGTCACAGAGTTTAAGAGCCTAAATTCTCCGTTCATAATATATATATATATATCATTATCAGACTGATTGCACAAAGTGTACTAGGGTGGAGGCCATCGCTAGTAGCTTGGAGGCCATTGCTAGTAGCTTACTAGATGAACACCATGCAGGCCGGCAAAAATGTCCTGGGAGTGTATTTTTTTGGCTGAAACGTCTGTATGTACAGAGTCTCAGGCTCAGGTTGAAGAGATGTCATTGCAAAGCCGGCATGAATCATAGGTCATGGACCCTTTCACTTCAGACCCTCACGACCGAGGGCCCTTGAGCGGATCAAAACGTGCGTGAGCAGCCGCACCATGTTGCCCCATTTTCCACGGGTGTGAATCCCCGAGTTTGCATTGGTAGCGGAGCGAGCCGAACCCGTGCTCGCTCCCTATCCTTAGCCCGCCATGCCGCTTGCTGCTGATGTCTTGCGGCCGCCTGGCGATGGCACTACGCCAGATCTACATCCTGGTGCCCTTGGAGGTGAACTTCCTGGCACCGGAGCCCCACAAGAAGAGGACGATGATGTCCTAGTTGAAGCGCTGGACCATGACCTCTTCGAGGACACCTACCAAGACGATGGCGAGATGGACGAGCTCTATGGCAGGGCTCCCCTACAGCGTCGACGCCTTGGACGCAACGGACCTCGTTCAGATGATCACGGTCCCGCTGATGGAGAGCCTGGTGAGAAGACCCCTTCTCAATCCGGCTCGCAGCATGCTGGCTCGGGGAGAGATTCTCCGAAGTCAGCCAAGTCCACGAGATCCAAGACCTCCGTGGACGAAGCTGGACGACATCGACCTCGAGGCAATCTTCCGCCTCCACCGGCGTTTTCCGGTGAAGTGAAGAAGAACCCCAAAGCCTTTCGTCATTGGCTTCAGAAGGTGGACAGCTTTGTGGAGATCGCCAAGCACATCATTGGCGATGAGGAGATTGGCCTTCGCTTGCACTCGGCTCTTGAGGCGGACGCGGCCGAGTACTTGGAGGACATCCCGGCCAAGACCTTTGGCGTCCCCGGCGGATGGAGAGTGCTCATCCAGGTGCTTCGTGAGAAGTTTGATGAGCGCCGGATGCACAAGGTTGGATCAGCCATGAAGTCGTTCTTCAAGCTCCAGGTCGACAGAAGCTGGACCCTCACCGAGCTCGTCGACCACATGGACAAGTCGGCACGCCTTTGTCGAGAAGCAGGCCTCGCGATCCCTGATGAGATCCTCGTCTACCAGTTCTTCGAGCACAGTGGAAGCTCCATGGAACGTCAGGCGAACCTGCTCTTGAGGACCTCTGGAGACTACGACTGGAAGAAGATGAAGACCGCGATCGAGCTCCTCTACCCCACGACGCTGGTATCTCAACGTCGCCATGGTGGTGGCTTCAAGGGCTATGGTGGCGGAAAGGGTAGGTCAGCACACGAGGCACAGGGCGTTTGGGAAGAGTCCAATACTTCAAACGACTACATCCAGCCCGACATGGACATCGAGGACTGGCTCTTCTACGAGGACCCCGTCGAGAAGCTCGCCGATGAGGTCCCCGACTACCTGCCTGAGAACCTGGCCAGAGAGCTTCATGAAGTCTACGCCACCCATCGAGAGAATCGAGCACGCCTTGCAAAAGCAGTCAAAGCCCGCGGCTTCTATGTGAACAAGTCCAAGGGCGGCAAGAAGGGCTCGAAAGGTGGCGGCAAGTCGAAAGACAGTGGCAAGGCTGGGAAGGGCTCAGGAGGCAAGTCGAAAGGCAAAGGGTCTGGAAAGGCCCGTGGTATGTCTCTGGAGCAGCTGAAGCAGGTCACCTCTTGCGCCGACTGTGGCGAGATGGGCCACTGGCGAGGTGACACCCAGTGCAAGAATCCTGCCAAGAAGGCCCACGAGACTGTGAATGTGGACTTCGAGGACACCGAGCAGTTCGAGGCCTACCTCCAGGACTACCCGTACGACGATTGGCATGAATGGGAGCCGGACACCAACGAGGCCTGGATCACCAACAAGTACCAGACCTGGGACGATGAGAAGGTTTCCGTCTCCAAGAAGCAGACTGCGGCTGAGGCCTTTCCCAAGTTGGACTATGAGGAGGCCAAGCACGTGGTCAAGACGGTGAACGCCGTCAAGCGCAAAGCATCCGAGCACGCCGGATCCTCTGGCGATGTTCCCCCCGAGCAGGCAGGACTGACGCCTGCGACACGTCCTCTGGATGTGTTCACGGCCACCGCACAGGTCAAGGAGCAGATCGAGTCCCGCAAGCTGAAGCCCGTGGCACACACCGCGACGGCGCCTGAGGCCGTTCGTGAAGCCTTCGAGATCCTTGGAGTCACTCCACCTCCGAGGAGTGGTTCAGTCTGGGACTGCCTGTCAGCCACGGAGGAAGAGAAGACCTTCGACCTGGACTCGATGCGCATCTCCTACATGGTCAGCAAGATGGACCCGCGCTCAGTGCTTGGTGTCGGCCGCCCTCCGGCTACCGTGACACCTGGCCGTGCATACCTCGGCCTGCGAGAACACAGTTGGCGGACTCACCGCATTGCACCTGGTGGCCAAGGTCCTGGAGGACAAGTTCAAGGTCAAGCCAACCGTGCACCCGGAGGAAGAATCCTACCGGTTTGGACCTGGCGAGCCCCGGATCTCGCATGAGCGCTGGCATGTGCCGATTGGCATCGGCAAGAAGAACATGATCATCAAGACCTCCACGCTTGATGACAGACCCCCGGGACAGAACAAGATCCCATGGCTCGCAGGACAGGATTGGCTGCGCTTCATGGCAGCAGTCGTGGACATCGCCGAGCAGAAGATCATCCTGAAGAGCATCGACGCTCAAGCCCCTTTGTTTACTGACCACACCGGACATTTGGTGGTGGCAGTTGATGATTTTCCAAGTTTGGGCTGGCCTGAAGGAAAGGTCGCTTCGAAAGATGATTACGCTGGACTCCTCTGGCTCACAGGAAAAGCGTATATGGAGTCTGCAGCTTGGCAACTGGTGATATTTATGGTCTACATCCCTGTACGGTACATGGTGATGTTTGGGAGTACAACATGGACAACCCCCTGGTCTACATCCGGAGACACCGTCGACCAAGAACCACCAGGTTTCATCCTCAAGATGTCGTAGATGGACCCGAACCACGTGAACTGCAGATGGTAAGGGTCACCTACAAAGATGGAGCCCCTGAACCGATTGTGGACACCTGGGATCAGAAGGTCGAAGAGGAGCCCTGGACAGGCTACACGGTTTTGGTTGGTTTGGACTGTGAACCTCATGTCCAAATGGTGGCATCCACACCTGCACATCACCAAGTCGGGGTCCGCATCGAGATCGCCGGCAAGTCGAGAACTGTGCACCCGAAGTCTTTGAAAGAAACTGTCACTAAGAGGCTTCAAAGATCTTTTGCACCCCACATCAAACCTCCGGATCTGCCGCTGAGTCGTCATGATCAACGGTTCACTTCGTCGCAGAAGGAATTTCCGAATGTCAGCAACTTCGGTTCCAGCACGCCCGCACGAGCTGCCTATGAGGAAGGCCCCATCGGATCGACGCCAAAAAGCTGCTCAGCTATGGCGGCTGCTGGTGGAGAGGCTCATGAAGCTCTACGCGGCGCTGCAGCGATGGGTGAATGCGAACAAGGTGGTGCGGGAGTGCAAGTTCCGTGCACCAGCTCTCATGGGCTACATGGAGGCGATCCTCGACGAGGAGACCACCTTAGCGATGGACCTACCTCCTGCTCTACCTCCTGCTTCTACGAAGGCGAAGGGACAGACAGCCTATGCCCTGAACCTGAAGTACCAGGAGGAGCCACACAACTGCCCACATCTGGTGGAACATGGTCGTCGCTATGGAAACGCCCATGGCAAGTTCTTGGAGTGCATCAACTGTGGGAGCGTGTGGCGGGGCATCGACTACACGGTGCCGATCAGCCAGGAGACGGTGACTACGTACAAGATCTACGTGGGCATTCGGGACAAGCCAGGAGGCAAGGTCATGAAGGGCGCCACAACCCGCAGAGCTTCTTCTTCAAAATCCTCTGTCTACTCATCTTCCTCACCTCCAACATCTATGGAGGCAGCCTATGGGATCACCTACCAACCTCCGAGACGGGCAACTACGAAGGCAGCGCCCTCGAAGCCCGAGCGTCAGATCAAGCCCAAGAAGGAGAAGGTCAATCCACAGGTCTACAACCTGGAGGAGTGGGACGACGCGGACATGGTGGAGGTGACAAGCGAGGAGGACGTTCAGGAGGTGAAGACGGCAAGAGCTTCAGGTCCGAGGACGCAAGGCAGGATGACTCATCGCAACAAGGAGGACTCCCACACGGACGAGTTCGACGGCTGAACGATGAGGTGAAGCTCAAGCCTGGTCAGCAGAAGAGAATGAAGCACATGGCAAGACAGGCCCTAGCGACCTCCAAATTGCAAAGAAAGCTCATCGAGGAGCGCATGAAGAAAGGCCGTTGGCCCCGCAAGCACTTCAAGTTCGACCTGGTGGAGGTGTTCGGTGGCACTTCGATGGTCAGTGTGAGAGGCAGCACTATGTGGCGGATGAAGGTGTTGCAGCCGGTTGACATTCGCTATGGCTGCGACTTGAGAAAAAGGCAAGCCAGACGCTGGCTGATGCAGATGTTGGACAAGGCCAACCCACGCTTGGCCATTGTGGAGTACCCATGTACGGTTTGGAGCACCCTCAACTCCAACATCAACTATCAAGGTCGAGAAGAAGAACTCGCACGACTTCGAGAAGAAGACCGACCTTTTCTGAAGCTGACCGAGGACATCTTTGCTTCGCAGGTCAGCCGCGGCGGACACGCCGTATCAGAGAATCCAGCAACCGCAGCATCACAATCTCAACCTGAGATCCTTCGCTTGAGAGAAAGGTGGTACGAGACCACGTCATGCTTATGCATGTTTGGGCTGCGAGGCAAGCGAGGCATGCCTATGATGAAGAGAGTTCGCTTCATCGCCACCCACGAGTACTTCATCCAGGAGCTGGACCTTCAGTGCGACCACAGTCACCAGCACGAACTGGTGGAAGGTTCGAACACCCGTGCATCTCAATGCTACCCACACCAGCTCTGGGAGATGCGATCTGCAGAGCTTACTGGAGAGTGGTCGAGCTTGAGGACTTTGGCACGGTCACCTATGAGGACTATAAGGTCAAGAATGCCAGCACAGCATGGTTCGTCGACGTCAACAAGCAGGAGGACAAATGGCGACCCTTGCTGCAGGAAGCTGAGGAGATCTTGGCCAGGAAAGTGCAGAGCAGCATCTTCGTCACACCGGAGTCCGACCTCTACCGGAAGATCTGTGAATTGGTGCCCTGGCAAGTGATGAACATTCAGCTGGCCCATCTTCCAAAGGCCAAGCGAGTCAGGCCTGGGCTGGAAGAATGTCATCGAGCATCGGTCTTGCTGCAGAACGACAACTCCATCATCATCGAGACCGAGTATTTGAAGACAGCTCAAGCACCCCGTGAACGCTTCATCGCACCAGTTCGCGTGGGCATCTTCATCCTGGGCTATGCACCCGGTGAACCACAGGCACCAAGCCCTCAGAAAGAAGGAGAGCGGCAATACGTTGAGGCCGAACCCGGAGAAGCAGTTGGTGAAAGAATCGAGGGCGATCATTTTGACGATAAGTCCCTCGTCAAGCAGAGCTATGGAGGCGAGACTTGGTTTGAAGGACCTCCACTCACCAACCGACAGAAGAAGCTGGCTCCATCGATCGTCAAGCTGCACAAGAACCTCGGGCATCCCAGTCAGCCTGACTTCACTCGCGCCCTGGTCCAAGAAGGCAATGTGGAGACCGAGGCCATCGAGCTGAGCAGGAGACTGAAGTGTGCAGTCTGTGAACGGTCGAGACGACCAAAAGCACCACGTCCGACTTCCTTCAAGATAGTCGGATCCTTCAACTCCAAGCTGTGCATGGACTTCGTCTATGTGCCGGACGCTGAGGGGAACAACTACCAGTTCCTCCACATCTTGGAGCCCAATGGATCCTTCAACGTCTTCTACCCCAGTGCTACACGCAATCCTGGAGACGTGTGGGATTTGTTTTGTTTGCTGTGGGCTAGCTGGGCAGGCTTCCCACAGACCTTGTGGCGCGATAAAGACGGCGCCTTTGAGGGTGAGTTCCTTGAAAGGATCAGGTCAATGGGCACCCTGGTTGACAATCCTCCAGCAGAAGCTCATTGGCAAGCCGGACAAGTTGAGGCCTACAACCGCGCCTTCAAGGACACCGCTCAGAAACTGGTGGACGAAATGGTCCTCCGAGGCGATCGAGATATGAGAACTCTCGGCTGCGCTGTCGCCGCCGCAATGAATGACCGCATCCGGCCATCAGGATGCTCGGCCTATCAGTGGCTCTTTGGCAAGAGTCCTCAAATACCCGAGGACGTCCTCTCCCCGGACGGCAAGTTCGAAGCGCTACAGGCCATGGAGCTGGACGAAGAGCTGCGGAGAAGGAATAGGATTCGAGCAATGGCAGATGAGAAGATCTCTGCCTACCGGCTTAACGAAGCCGTGCGGACAGCCATACTCCGCAAGTCTCATCCAATGAAGGATGACTACGAGCCTGGCGAACTCGTCGCCTTTTGGCGAGAAGCCAAATCGCCAAGGCAAGAAAGGACAGAAGGGCAAAAGGATACCAGCCTCTTGGTATCGTGGTGTGGTGGTTGGACCTCACAAAGGAGATGGCACCACCAAGCAGAACAACTTTTGGGTCACCTCCAACGGACGGTGCATCCTTGTGGCCAAAGAACAGATGAGGCCGGCTTTTGGCACCGAACTATGGCCGGTACACGAACATGTTCTCCAGGAACTACAAGACAATCCTCCGCAGCAGTACTTGGACCTTCGCACGGACGAGCTGCCGCCGGTGCCGGAGGATGATGATGAAGACCTGGATCAGGTCCCGCTCTTCCCGGACAAGAAGGAGGAGGAACGATTGGAAGAAGAGCTTGGTGAAGGACCACCTGGAGAAGCAAGTTCACCTGCCGCTGACGCAATGGACATCTTGGCGGAGCAAGAAGCGGCAGAAGCTGAAGACCCTACAGCTACGGCCTCAGACATGACAACACTACCAACCCATCCAAGCACGAGAGCGCCTGGAACTCCGGTTGGACAGCTATGGCCACAGACACCACAAAAGAAGATGAGGACTACACCTTCGCACTCAGCACCTTCCGAGGCCGCCCCATCGGCAGCCACGGACCTCGCCATGGAACAGAACCCCGCAGTACCGGAACCTTCCTCTGCCATGGTCACCAACGTCGGCAAGGACTTCTGGCACGCAGACCACAAACGTGGGATTTTGGTACGCCACCATCTACAACCACGTCGAGCTCTATACGATCCTGGTCGAGCTCACGATCTACCAGTACGCCTGGACAAGATCTCGAGATTGAGGACCACGGTGATGTTCCTCGACTCCGGACGCAAGATGGTGAGAGACACATGGGTGTCACCAAACTCCAACACGCCCATGGACAAGAAGTGGACCGGCAAGACGATCTTCAAGATCTTGGTGCGGTCCGCTATGGAAGCCCATGCCGAGTGGCAAAACCCAGAGCGCATGTCCCGGAAGGACCGGAAGGCCCTGGAGAAGGAGTTGCCTTGGTCGGCCATTCCCGACGAGCAGAAAGAGCTCTACCGGTAGGCGCTGGTGAAGGAGTGGAACACATGGCTCAAGTACGAGGCCGTCCTCATCCTCAACCCTGAGTGCAGCAGACAGGTTGAACTGATGGTTGACGCCAGCCGCATCCTTGCGGCCAGAGTCTGCTACAGAGACAAACACGCAGCCACACCTTGGCTGGAGATCAAGCCCAAGGCCAGAATTGTTTGCAGAGGAGACAACGATCCAGACCTACTCGAACTACGTCGAGACGCTCCTACGCTCACGAGGTTGGGGCTGATGCTGATACTTCAACTCGCTGCAAGCGGAGAAGGTTGGATCATGGTCACCGCCGACATCACCGGTGCTTTCCTACAAGGAGACCAAAGCCTGGCCAAACGGAAGGAACCGCTTTTTATCAGGCAGCCAAAAGAAGGTTTGCCCGGACTACAACCAGGACAACTTCTACTAGTGGTGCGAGGCATCTTTGGCTTGGCAAACAGCCCCCGGCTGTTCTGGCGCTTCCTCCGCGACAGCTTGATCACCCTCGGCTTTGTGCAGTCCACGCTCGACAAGGCCCTCTTCATGTACTACGAGGACCACCAGCTCATCTTGGCGCTGGGAGCACACGTCGATGATTTGATATGCGCTGGATGCCCAAAGCGAGCGGACAACATCCTCAACAAGGTGAAGACCACGTTTGACTTCGGGGACTGGCACGACTCCCGCCAGGAGAACAAGATGGTCTACGGTGGCAAAGAGATCATCGTGCGCAATGACGGCAGCGTCACCCTGGGTCAGGAATCTTTCATCCGGGCACTGACCTTGACACCAGTGCCGAAGTGGCGAAGGATCATGAAGGACTCCACCTTGACAGCCACCGAGGTCACGGAGATGAAATCAGGTGGCGGATGTTTGCATTGGCTCATCGCCCAGACGAGGCCAGATCTCGCTGCAGGTACCTTGCTGGCTATGAGCGGAAGCCCTACTGTCACGAACCTGCTTGAGGTGAACAAGCTCCTGCAAGAGGCGATCCGGTCCCAAGACTGGAAGCTCAAGTTCGTGCCGATCCCACTCGAACAGGCACGCATCATCGCCTTCAGTGATGCCTCATGGGCGAACACGGAGGAGCTGAAATCCCAAGCGGGATACTTGGTCTTTGTGACCGGGCCGGAGGTGTTCACTCCCACTGGAGATGCCGCCAGTTTGGTGGAGTGGAAATCCCACAAGATTCGGCGCCGCTGCCGATCGACCCTGGCCGCAGAGACTATGTCCCTTGATGCGGCTACGGACGCAGCCCTCTTCACTCGCGAGCTGCTGGCAGAGATTTGCATCGAGGGCTACCAGCCGACTCATTCAGGACGATTGGA